TTTAGCGCGGTCATTCGAGTTTATATTACGTATAATTTTAATTATATCGCTGTTTTAACAAGATTAACCAAAAATAAAATGCACTGCCCGGGAATCGAACCCGGGTCTGTACCGTGGCAGGGTACTATTCTACCACTAGACCAGCAGTGCTTTAGATAGTAAACAAGGTTATGTAGCAACGGTTTAGATATTAATTAAAACGAGCGTTCTGTTTTTAAATCAAACCATGAACCCTAAAACTTGCTAAAAATTTCATACAAATTCTCATACTACACGATCTTCTTGATTTTCGAGAAAGACCCCGTTTCCGAAAAGTACGTTGATTGGGTACCGCTTCCAAGCAATGCAGCTTGCGCTGATGGATTCGAGAGCTCGATACCCTGCCGAAGAACCGAAAAGAAAATCACCACTTTTCTCGAAACAAAGAAAACAAAAACGAAAGAGGAGTACCTGAACCGGCGTGAACGCTAAACTAGAGGTGAGACCAGACGTAGCTCCACTGCTCCCATACTTCTTCTCTTTAAACCTGCAAATCGAAACACAGAGAATCAGCCCAAGTCTCTCAAAAGCTGGCAAACGCGAGGAGAGAAGAGATCTTACTTCTTCACTTTGGTCGAAAGCTTGCTCGGTCCAGCCGATATCCTCAGCTTGCCACTCCCTGCCTGGCCGAGCATCCCATAGCCTTCACCCAACCCGTCTCCCAGTGAACTCTCCTCCGGGATGTTAAAGCTCATCCGGTTGGCAAGCTTGCGCATGTCCGTCATCGCGTACCTTAAAGCAAGGAAACAAGCTCGTAACTTGGTCGCAAACCAGCTCACGACGAGGCCATACCTCTCCTTCATCTTCCTCAATCGCCTCCCTCCTCGCTTCTTCTTTGGGTCCGAGTCGGGCACCGGGAGTGGCTTGGGCTGCTTTGGCGGAGGCGGCTCCTGCCACTTCTCAATCTTCTTTTGTATCTCCTCCCTAAAAGCCCGTCCAGTTTGCCCGAGACGATCCCCCATTGTAGCGTCCACACGGGCCGCCAGCGTCGACTTGCCGGACACGAGACGAGCAGCTCGAGTTCTCAGCGATGGCGGGCTGCCTTGGACGATCTCCGAGTGGAAGATGAAGCCGGTGTGAGGATTGAGCGTAGCCGACGAGAAGCCTGCCGAGTTCTTCTTCTTGACGCCGAGGATCTGTACGTTGCACGCCGGCATCTTCGATAGAGCTGAGAGACCACCGGCCGTTCCCATCAGTTTTGCTGCCACCGCGCTTCCCAGTATGGCCGACAGGTTTGGAGCGATGAAGGCCATCCTGCTCTCCACGAAATTCAGCACCTTTTTCTTCGACTCGTCAAGGTCCAGGGCCCGGTCACAGGCATCCAGCGTCTTTTGCAGGACTTCTTCGGCTAGAGGCTTGCCGTTGGTCGTAGAAGCCGTGACTGAAACCACCATGATCGTCGCTGATGGGAGTACTCCCTCGAGATCCACCAAGGTGAGGTCCATCTCGTTCCCAATCCTCTTGACGACTCGAGCATAGTCAATGGGATGCTGTACCAGGGACTCGAGCTCCGGGAACTTTAGCCGGTACTTATCTCTGATGTAGTTGTGTATCACCCCTATCTCGTTGTCGATGTCAACCGAGAGAGTGTTACACTCCACGATCAGCTGGTACTCCGGATCATCTTCCGAGAGCTTGGCCATGGTAGCAGGAACTCCAGACTCGATTGCCTCGTCCACTTTCTGGAAAGAAAAGGAGTTTGAATAACCGAAAGAGAAAGGGAAGCTCTAGAGCAAGAACAAAGAACTCACCTTCATGAGGTCATGGTACCGCGGAGTGTTTTGGAGCTTCGCAACCGTGTTAAGATCATCGTAGTTTACCTCGACGTCGGGCATCTCCACATCCTCTTTGCCCAGCTCGTCGTCCTCTCCAGCTTCTTCCTGCGATGCCAAAACGCCTATTAGGAGAGGTTAGACACAAAATACGCGAAAGAACGCTCCCCTACCTCGCCCGGCGCCTCATTGTCTGAGAGATCGTCGAGATCGGCAAGAAAAGAATCCGCCAGCGTCGCCTGCACAGAATCGCACAGAGAATCAGCGCCAAAGATCGCCATCGCGATCGCCACACTCACCATTCTCGCGTAGCAAAACCCTAAGTTATGAAGAACCCTAACTTTCTTCCTGGATTATATTCGCGAAAAGGATGTGGATGGAACCACTGCTCTTGCCGCCACGAAGCATGGCTTCCTTCGCGATGCGCTCTCCGCGCTGGAAATCCCTGTGGATCTTGCAAGAGCTCACGATCGACGCCCAGGCGCTGGAGCTCGGCTCGAATGGCATCGATCGGACGAGCTCCTCGGCGAATCCCAGCTGCCCGGCCCTCCCAAACACATCGGCCATGGCGCTGTAGTGCTCCAGCGAGGGCTTCACGCCATAATCCTCCTCCATGAGCGCCAGATAGCTCCTTCCAGCTCCAACCAGCCCGATCCTGCTACACGCCGCCATGGCGCTCGCGATAGCGAACTCGTCCGGCAGGAATCCCTCCAGCTCCATCGATCGCAGCAGCCAGATCGATTCCACAGCACTGTCGGAGTGGCTGAATGCGCCAATGATCGCGTTCCAGGACGCGATGTCGCGGTAGAGCATTCGATCAAACACCGCCTTAGCGCGATCTAGACGCCCGGTATAAGAAAACGCGACGATCAGCGCGTTCCAGGAGATAATATCGCGATCCAGCATTCGATCGAAGAGCGCCAGCACCTCCCCGACATGCCCGTTCGCGGCATAGCCCGCGATTAGGGTATTCCATGCTACAGTGCTCCAGCGGGGCATATTCTCCAGTAAGACGCGGGCATCTTGGAGGTACCCGGCCTGAGTATATGCCGATACCATCGTCGCCCAGGACACGGCGTCCCAGCGCGGCATTCTATCAAACAACGTTTTGGCCTCCTCAAGATGCCCAGTGTCGGCATTTGAAGAGATCATGATATTCCAAGTTACCACGTCTCGATGGATCATCGCCTGGAACATAGATTTGGCTCGATCATAGAAACCTCTAGAGATAAATCCAGAGAGCATTGCATTAGAGGAGACAACGTCGTGATCAGGCATTCGATTGAAGAAGAAATCAGCGGCAAGGTCTAGCTGCTTGAATTGGGCGTGGGCGGTGATGATGATCGTCCAGGCAGAGAGATTCCACTCGGGCATGGCGTCGAAGAAGATGTGCCTTGCGTCTTCCAGTTGCCCGGATTGGGTGTAGGATTGAAGAACAGTCGCCCACGAGACAATGTCTCTCTGGTCCATCTTTGCGAAGAGATTTCTCGTTTCCTCGCCTCGACCCTCTTGGGTGTAGCCCGCGAGGATCATGTTCCATGAGACCACATCTCGGTGCTCCGCCATAGCCTCGAAGAACTCTCTTGCGCGACAGAGGTTTCCACTCTGGACAAAAGCTGCGATCATCGTGTTGGCTATCATGGTGTTCCACTCGGGCATCCGATCGAAGAGGAGCTTTGCTTGAGAGATCATCTGCCGGTGCTGCCCCATGATCGAGAGCATCGCGCTCCAGGACACAAGGTTTCGCAAGGGCATTGAATCAAACGTCGTGATCGCGTCGTCTATCCGGCCGCTGTCACCATACACAACGACAAGCGCGGTCCACGCGACAATGTTGGGCTCCGGGATCGATCGAAAAGCTTCTTCGGCAAGATCGAAATGCCCAGACTGGGCATATGCTTGAACAAGGCAAGTCCAAGACACAACATTCCTTTCCGGCATTGCTGCGAATGTTATTTCCACACCATGCAAGTCGCAAGCCGAGGAATATGCTTCCAACATAGTTGTCCACGAAATTATATTTCTTTCCTTCATGCTAGCGAAGAGAATCTCACATTCCAGAAAATACCCTTCCTGGGCATTTGCAGAGAGCATTGTGTTCCAAGTTACTACGTCGTGTTCCGGCATTGCGTAGTACAGTGCCCTAGCCTCTGAGAGGGAACCCAGTCGTACGGACGCCGCCACCATAGTGTTCCACGAGAATATATTCTTCTCCGGCATCTCCTTGAAGATTGATTTTGCCTTTTGCAAATGCCCTTCACGGGCATATGCTACCATTATGGTGTTCCAGGTAACAACGTTTCTCTCCGGCATAGAATCAAACAGGGATTTAGCTGATATGAGCGACTCGTTTTGTGAGTAGCCAGAGATTAGGGTCGTCCAGGCCACCACGTCGTGCTGCGGCATGGAATCAAAGAGAAACCGCGCTTCCTCCAGATGCCCACGCTGGGCATAGCACCCAAGGATGATCTTCCACGACAGGAGATCCGGCGCTTCCATGGCGTCGAAAGCTGCCCTAGCGAGCGCCAATTCGCCACATCGCGCGTACATTTGGAGCAGGATATTGAGCAGCGCTCCATCGTGCCTCAAATCGCTGGAAGAAGAAATCCACTTGTGGATCAATCGTCCGCGAGCCAAATCCCTCGATTGCGCGCAGCTCGCAAGGATCGATTGGAAGTAGAATCGCCGCTGGAGAGTCGAATTGGAATTGGGATTGACGACGCCCAGCTCCAATTCCCTGGCGGCGTGGAGCATTCCAGAAGGACACGTGGCGAGCGGCCATTTGTTTCTCTTGAGCGCCTATGTGGCTCCACATGACCCTAGGTTTGGAGTGTGGAGGAGAGGAGCGATTATGCAGCGCCAAGGGAGGAGCGGCAACGCAAATGGAGGCGGCGGCGATGGTAGCGGCGATTACCGGCGAGGAGGCGGCGGGGCATTCCCTGATCCATTCGCTGGGTTTGGCGGATTTGGCTTCGGTGGCAGCATGATGCAAAATTTCTTTGGCGGCCGCGATCCCTTCGACGATCCCTTCTTCAATCGGCCGTTTGGGAGCTTGTTTGGAGGATTTCCAGACAATAATCCCTTCGATCACAGGCGCGATGGCGGTTTCTTGGAGAATAGGCCTTTTCATTCACAGCAGGTATGTCTGAGTTTTTTCGTTCTTGTTTCTGTCGAGAAAGCTTTCTTTTGAGGAGTTTGCTAAGAACTTCGGTGTCTAGGAGAACCGGAGAGGCCCTATTATCGAAGAAATCGAGGACGATCATCCTCACGCGACTGGGTCGAGCCAAGAACCGATTGTGGAGCATCCAGACGATGATGTGAGGCCTGGTTAGTAGTCAATTGGAAACAATATTTTTTCTTACGGGTTTTCCCATGTATAAGCTTGAAGCATCTTACAGTCGTGAATTTGTTCCAGACCGTAGGCAAAGGGTGACAAGCCGTCACCAGGGTCCTCTCGTGAACCATCGAGATGACGGAGGTTTTCAATCGTATTCTTTCCAAAGCTCGTCTTTCAGCTACGGGGGACCGAATGGCAACTATTACGCCTCTTCGACGGCAAGGAGGCGAGGTCCAAATGGGGTACGCATTTTCTTTGTGTGGTTATTTTTCTATGCTAGCTCCGATCGCGCAGGTTGTTCACGAAGAACATCATGAAAAGGACTCTTCTAGTAAATCTGAGACGCACAGGGTATCGAGGGGAATTCATGACAAGGTGCCTATAGGTGTATGGTTTTTGTCAGAATGAGGCTCATGTTTTAGTTAATATCAGGGCCATTCCTTGACTCGTAAGCGCAACGCAGAGGGACGGGAAGAAAATCTCCAAACACTTCACAACCTGGGCGAAGGTACTTTTCTTTCTGGCTAAGCTGACATTGACTACAGCGTCATCAACGTTACAGAGGAAGTTCCTGAGTTCGAGAAGCGTTGGGAATTCGAAGCCGAACGCAACCTTCCTGGCTGGAACAGGAACAGAGCAAGGTCGCTAGCTGGAGGAGGCAACGAAGGTTTGAACTTCTAAAGAATTCTTTTTCAGCTAATAATGGAGTTTCTTTCGGTATTTAGGAAGTCGTCAACGGGCTGCCTTACCTTCTGGATCTTCTGGATCTTCTGGATGGTCTGGTGCCAGACAAGCTTGAGACGCACGTATTCAAATCACGAACGAGTTTCTGGTCGTTCGTGATAACCATCGTCATAGTACACGAGGTCTATATTTACGTAGTAAACGGGCCATAGAGCCGGTTTGTTGAAGGGATAGAACCTTTTAGAGGCTCTTTCTCTTGCTGTGCCATTCTTCATGCCGGCAAGGAAGAATATCATCCTACTTACTGTCGCGCATTGGATTTGTTTTTTTGTTCTTATCAGTGTAGCTAACTGGACTTCTTGCATGGTCGATCAGATTAGTTGGTCAATCATCTTAATCTATCTGTCCTTTTTCCTCTGGTGCTAACAGATCGCATTGACATCTGCATGGGCAAATTCAGTTACGGCTGTCTCAAAAAGAACAGGTTTTTGAATCCGAATTCTTCGTCTAACGATCTTTTTCTCTTTTGCAGGAGTCAGAGCGGAGGCTACTTAAAGGTGTGTAGGTGGAGAAGTTGTGGCAGGAGCAAAGGCAACAGTAAAGAGACAGGCAGCTCATTTGGCCTGTGCTCTATCTCTTCTCGATTTTCTTCTTTCAATAAGCGCCTGTGGTGGGCTGTTTAGCAGGCCGCGATTGGGGAGCTTCCCGTGTGGTGCAGCTGATTCACATGTACATGCAGGAGGATACCTGCGATTGTATGTAAGTACCTTCAGAATTTGGGTTCTTCTGAATTTCCTGCTCGTGCTTTTTGTAGATGCGTCAGAGGAACGAGCTAGACGCAACGAGAACGCGATGGAGGCTGCTGCAAGTAGATTTTTTGGATCTACAATTTCGCGAGATGGGCCTTTTGGCTCTGGTTCACTCAAGTGTCAACACCAACACGAATGCTCTCCAGTGGTGCAGTGTATGAGAGATTTAGTCAGCAGCGTTCCGAAATTGAACGGTTCCCGGACCCATATCAGCAGCAGCGAGAGCTTGAAGGCGACAATACCCAACAAGTCCGTGGCTTTCAAGGACTATCACGGCGATGTTAATGACTACATTCCTCTGCTCGCAGCTGCAATCATCGCGGTCGACAAGAACAAGCAGCAGCAGGAAGTCAGCTTACGTGAGAGATCAGCGCAGATGAAAAGGGGCAGACTTCTGGAGAATGATTTGGTCTACCGGCAAAGATTTGTTATCAGGTCGTACGAAGTCGGATTCGACAGATTGGCTTCAATTGAAACACTTACAAATCTCTTCCAGGTGAATGAAATTTTTTTCTGGCACTGCTCAAACTTTTATGTTTATTTTCCTTCTGACGTATAAGAAATCTACACAGGAGACTGCTCTCAACCATGTTGGCATGTCGGACTTTGTTGGTGACGGGCTTGGAACAACACATGCAATGATGCGAAATGGTCTTATATGGGTTGTAACGAGAATGCATATTGATGTTGATCGATATCCAGTCTGGTAAGCATCCTGTTTTTGTTTTCTCGTTGCGTTTCTGAAGCTAGAGCAGGGGTGACATTGTTGAGATCGACTCTTGGATCCATGGTGCTGGCAAGAATTTTATCCGTCGTGATTTTATGGTTCGGGATTTTACAACTGGAGCGACTGTCTGTCGAGCAACGAGGTAGGCATTTACTTTCTATCTTTGTTGAAACTGAGACCGTGAAATTTTTAGTACCTGGGCGATGATGAACAAGAGCACAAGACGCCTTTCCAAAATTCCAGACGATGTCTTCGCAGAAATATCCCCATACTTCCTTGACCGGCACGTAATGGAGGATGATGCCTGCCAGAAAATTGTAAAGCTGGACGACACTGCGATGTATGTACAAAAGAATCTCGTGGTAAGCACTAGCTAGCGGATCGAAGCCTCCTTTATTCTCCTTTACTTTCCTTGCGAGTGACTTCTGACATTTTGACGCTCGCTTTTGACAGCCAAGGCTCCATGACATGGATATGAACCAGCATGTCAATAACGTCAAGTATATCGGCTGGGTGCTCGAGGTAAAAATCCTCTTTTTTCTTTTTTTATTTTCGACTAGCTTTGAGCTAAACCTGTGCTTTGATTCCAGAGCGTTCCACAGGCACTGCTCGTAGCTCACGAGCTGATGAGCATGACGCTAGAGTACCGGAGAGAGTGCGCTGCGTCCGACATAGTTACGTCTCTGACGAGCCCAGCGCCGAGCGAGTCGAGCGTGGCAGCCATGAGCAACTTGAAGGAGCTGGGGCCGCCCGACATTGGCAACCCGGTGATCACGACCAAGGGAAGCCTCCACTACACCCATCTCCTGAGAATGCAGGACAGCGGCTGCGAGATCCTGCGAGGAAGAACAGTGTGGAGACTGAAGGAGCGATTCTCTTCCTCATCTTAGACGCGCCTCCAATGATACAAATAATCTCTCGAACAAAAGGTACTAGATCTCAAAGATGCGTTGGATTGGATCTAACATTCTTTGCTGCTTTGGTTTTGCTAGAAACAAAGGTGATTATCAGTGACAATGTCTGGCCTGGGCTTCATCACGGCGGGGCACGGGCGGAGCCTTGGCGGCGACTTGAAGTCGGTGTTGTACGTACTGTCGTGCTCGAACCGCCGGTCGAGCGGCTCCGCCAGCGCGTTCTTGAGCTGCCTCCCGCGCAGCGGCGACTCTACGCCGGGATCCCGGAACTTATCCATGTAAGTCGTCCGCGCATTGAATCGACCACCCAGCTTCCCCAGCGCCGACGCGATGTTATCGGGTGTGGGCTTCTCGGGCAGCCTGCGGGGGACGAAGCCGGGGCCGTAGTTCTTCTCGTTGTAGAACTCGAGCCGCTTGGTGGGCTTGTTGGTCACGTCCCAGAAGCTGGTGCTGTAAGTGGTGAGGCCGGAGAAGGCCCCCGGGGGATCAAAGCCGGTTGGATCGGTGAGGAGGCGATTGGGAGCGCGCTTGTGGATCGGCCACCAGCGGTAGTCGCTGGCTTGGGTGGTGGATCCGGAGAAGGATGGCTGGTCGCGGTGGGGTGGTGGGAAGGCGATTGGATTCCTGGGACGAGCGTGGAAGTCGCGGAAGTTTGCGCTGTAGTCGGTGTTGGCGTTGGTGTAAGTGCCGCTGGGGAGGCAGCCGTCGAGAGTCTTGCCTGTGCCGACCGTGCGTGGGTTGCCCGAGAGGGGCTTGGCGGAGTAGAAGTGGGCGTAGGTGGTGGCGTCGGTGAGGCGGGCGTGGCGGGGGTCTGCCGGGGAGATGTTGCGCGGGCGGGGGATGCGTGTTGTGGTGGACGGCGATGGCGGGCATGAGGAGTCTCGGCGTGGATGGCAGAGCGTGGTGTGCTTGCCGCAGGTGCACACGGTACACATGCATAGTTTGCACCATTGTGGTTGTGATTCCTGGAAGGAAAGATCCGGGATTTCTCGCGGAAGTGTTAGTGAGAAGGGGGATCTTGAGAATCGAGAAGGGACGCCGCTAGATATTCTCACCGGATAGATGATCGATCGACAAGAAGGGGAAAGATCGAGAAGAAAAGGGGAAAGAAAGAAGGAAGATTGAAATATAGAGTGAGAGGGGAAGCGGTGGAGAAGGAAAGATGGAGGGAAAGTGGACAGACCGCTCGATACCACTGGAATTCACTCGAGTCTCCGACGTACCTGACCAGAGATCTACGCGTTCTAATATTGCAAATGTGGGATGGATTGCGACGAACAACCTGGCTCGTGGAGCAACCCGACGCCTCATCCTCGCGGCTGGGCGCCATTAAAATTTCAAAGCGTTGCGCCCTAATATGAATCGTTTGGAATTTTTTGTTATATTCAAGTAAAACCATCACGCCTTTTATTTTTGGTGCACTCCTGGACTTTTGGGAAGAGTGTAATTATTTATGTAAAAGATAAAATAAAAAAATGGATTAAATTATTAAATGTTGCCATTGTCAATCTTCCATGGACACATCATTTAGAACAATAAAAAATATTTCTAATTTTTCTATGCAAAAGTTTAATGTTTTGCAAATTTATAAATATTATGTAACTTTTTTGTGTTCACATTTTCTCAAGAAGCTTAATTTCAAGGTATCGAAAATATAGTCAAGTTATCAAAATTGTCAATTTATTTTACATATTTTACATAGTTTAATGAATTAAAAATCATCATTAATTTCACTTGGATATTTATAAAATCACCATTTTAGTCATTAAAAAAACTAAACTAAGCTAAAAGATATGTCAGAATTATTATTATTACTAAACTAGCAATAAAGACTACACAGTTAAAAAGTTATTAACATTATATTGAAAAAGCCTAAATAATTTGAGAACTTTTAATACATTAATATGATTGCATAAACATAATTTGAAATAAAAAATTGGCTCTAGGCTTTAAAACTTCAATCACATTATAAAAGAAGAAAGAACATCTGATTTGTTGAGAAATTAAAGAGTAAAACAAATATAAATAACTATTCAAAATAATATAAATATTACAGTCTAAATAATTATTTGGAAGAAATTAATATAGAGGAAGAAGGTGATGAATCACTCATACTTTTATGTGCTAAAAGAAAATTTAAAACTTACATAACTATTTGATAATCTAAAATGGAATATAAAGCTGTTACTCTTCTAAATATATAAGAATAATATTCTTAGAATATGATTTCTTTAATTTAATGGCTTTATCTTAAACTTTTAAATTTGGTTTATAATTAATCTTTAATAAAAATTATGAGAATCTTCATATCTCTTATAAATATGTTTGTGGGTGTTGAAAGTTACCAATTAGCGAATTCTTTTAGATATTATTTCTTTATTGCCATGATGTATGATACACCAAAAAAACTATGCTATTTCTGTATAGCGTGCATAATAAATATCTTTTAGTGCACAAATAAATTCTCATTTCCTTTTCTAAAGGATGTCCTTGACGAGAATTTACTTATAAGTTTTGAGTTTTGAAAATCAAATGCACAAAATACATCTATGGAATAATTGTCCGGGGTGAGACACTCTATATTATTGTTAGACCTTTTTTCAGTCTCCACCTAAATTAATTAAGAAACTAATCTTTGTGTGTGTTCTTATTTAAAAGAGCATAAAGACAAAATTTTTAAGTGTTATTAGTACAACATATTTGACTTAGTTAGAGAAACACATTTGTTGATTTGCACAGATTAATGAACTAAAAATAATCATAAATTTCCCTTGGCTATTTATAAAATCACCATTTTAGTCACCAAAAATACTAAATTAAACTAAAAGATATGTTAAATATACTATTTATACTAAAGTACCAATAAAGAATACATAATTAAAAAACTATTAACATTATATTGCAAAAGCTTAAATAATCTGAGAAATTTTCATGCACTAATATGATTGCATAAATATGATTTAAAGCAAAAAATTAGCTCCAAGCTCAAAAAATTCAAAATTTAGGTAATATGAAACTTCTAATATCATGTTATAAAAGAAAGAACATCTAATTTGTTGAGAAATTAGAGAGTAATAAGCAAAAATAGGCAACTTTTCAAAGTAAAATAATTATTACAGTTTAAATAATTATTTAGAAAACATTTATATAAAGGAGAAAGATAATGAATCACTTATACTTTTTTGCTATTCCAAAACTTCTTGATTCTCATTTTCTTCTTCTATAATTATTTTTCTTCAATTTTTCTCATTTTCTCCTTTCTGCCCCAATAGTTCGAACTTTTTTGTTTTCAGAGGAAAGGGTAAAGGGGACAAATGGGAGTCCGGCCCCGAAAATAAAGTGAAAACAAGTGAATACAATATTAGAGCAAAGATGAATGATATAATTGTGGAGTGAAGATGAGCATAATAAGTTTGAATAGAACATCTAACCCCAATGTAGTGAGACCAAACAAATGCGATAATGAAGTGAGGCCGAAAATAAATGGCAAAGTGAAAACAAATGCAACAAATCTAAACAGAGCTAATGTTTTAGAATTTTTTTTCCTTCAAGGAGGGGATAAAGAGGATGTGAAGGATAAACAAAATAAGTCCAACTTCCTATATGTAGTGCTGAATTAGGATAATGGTTTGTACTTATGATTTTAAGTTTGAGTTAATAGTTGTTTTGAAGGATCGTCAACATGCAAACTTAGAAATATGATGTATTGTTTATTACAATGGTGCTTTATAGACTATAATAACTCTCAAAGTCCCTTACTTTGGTTCAAAGTTATAATTGTATGGTTGGTTTGAACATTTTGGAGTTATCTAAAGTTGCAACTGATTCACTAAGATTTTGTAATCGACTAATGTTTATGCTATTGCTTTCGGTTTTATTTCAGTCATGGTTATTAATAACTTTATTGATGGTATTGTGAGAGCTTTAGATTCTTGTAGAAATTTATAATTGCCTAATGGAAGCTCTAGATATTCCACTTGATTTAGTATCATTAGCCTTTATTAATGTGAGTGCTCTAAATATAAGAATAGATGTATTAGGAGTTTAAACCTATGTTTATATACAAGAATGGATGGACAAAATTCAATTCTAAATAGACAGTCTATAGGCTTTAATATTATATTTAATGTATTATTTAGGTAAGGTAATACATGTATATACATATATATATTTACAAACTTTACAGTGGCAAAATTTTAGATAAAAATTTATTGTTGCAATAAATAATAGAGATTTCATCTTTAACTATTGTAAAATTACTTATACAAAATAAACTCATTATTAATTGTATTATTTTATTTTCTATGGTTTAGGGTTTCTAGCAGGGAAGAAATGGGACGGGGAAAAACGATGCGACGCCAAGGGAGGGACAAGCGCTGCGCGTCGTCGCTCGTGTAAGATTTCGTATGTTCTAGGCTGGATCTCTTACTTGCTCTCCGCAGAGACGAAGAATTCCAGCAGCCTACGACGTCTGCCGCACCAGGCAAGTGTCCATTTCTTTGCGGTGCTCAAGATTTGTGTGGGCTTAAGATCCCGAGGATGATGCGGGGAAGAAGAAGAAATTCCCATTCCCTCTTGCTATGTGGGTAAGATTGCGTCTTTCTTTCATTCTTTTTCCTCAACTTACTTGACTTTAAGGACTTTGAGCAATGCGACCCGAGAAAATGTACTGGGAAAAAACTCTCTCGTTTTGGCTATGTCAAGGTGATGGCTTCTGTCATTCCCATGCGATGTTTGGTTTTTCTTATAAGTTTTTCTTCTTCTTCCTCGCTCTAGGAACTTCGTGTACATCAAAGATTTGCTGGTGTGGTTTTGAGGTGAGCACCGCAGCAGTTTTTGCTTTCCTTCTTTGCGAAATTCTTTGCGTGGTACTGAAACTTTTCGAGCAGTCCTGTGGGGCAAAAATGTATATCACAGGAGGATGCAGCACTGGTCGAGGAGCGTGGTCTTGCGGTTATAGATTGTTCTTGGGCCAAGCTCGAGGCCGTGCCTTTTGGCCACCTTCGAAGTGGCTCAGCCCGTTTATGTAAGTTATTTCCTCTCTTTGTTCTCCAGATTTTTTCTTTTTCTTGTACATGCAGTGCCATGGCTTGTTGCTGCCAATCCAACAAATTATGGCCGGCCTTGCAAGCTATCGTGCGTAGAAGCTCTTACCGCGGCACTGGTTATTTGGTACGCCTCCCTTTAAAAAAAAATTAGATAACTCGCGCTAATAGGATGCATGCAGTGGAAAAGAAGAGCTGGGGACAGAGCTTCTGAGCAAGTTCAAATGGGGCCATGGGTTTCTGTCGCTCAACAGGTTCCATCTCTCGAGTCTTGACTCATTCAAATGGAATTCGATTTTAATTCTCTTTCTGTTCCTTTTTGTTTTTCTTGCAGCAAGCTTCTCAAACAGTATGCAAAGTGTAAAAACAGTGGAGAGGTCGTGGCAGTACAGAATAGCTGGCTTAGCAGCTCCGAGAAATCAGGTCTGCAAATCTCTCTCTTTCTCCTGCTGAAGGATAACCCCCTGCTTTCATCCAGAGAAAAGCCAAGAACAAGATCAAGAGCAAAGCAGCGACAATGACGACGAGCTCCCACCTCTTCACAGAAACATGAACCGCGTCGACTCCGATGAAGAACCGGACACCGAGAACGAGACAAGGGACGACGAAAACGAAGATGCAAACAAAGCAACTAAGCACATTTCCTTACAGTGGCAGAGCCTCTCTGTATCGGAGGAGGTAACGTTTTTTCGTTTGCTTTCTCCCTTTCTCGTCAGAGACTCACGTGTTTGTGTACTTAGGACGCGAGCAAAGAGACAAAAGCGCCAGGCCACTGCTCATAAAAATTCGGGGCGACAAAAGATCCAGGTGATCTTGTTTATTCAGACATTCATGATTGTAGCGAAGATCTTCAGGAAGCATACGTGAGCTCTCGCACAAACTGAGGACACTGGATGCGAGAGTAAGGTATGCTCCGGGAATCAGCGCCAGGCTCGTTGTAAATTCCAACGTACGCAGCACCACATGAGTTTACTCTGGTGAGTTTCCTCGAACGCGAAGAAGTGCTGCTTGATCGCTTGATCTCCTCTCCCGGTTTTACTGCTGCTGCTGCTGCTGCCGGTGGCGATTCCCTCGACTTGAAACGAGTGAACTTGGCGCGGATTTTCTTCTTCCAAGAGCACTTGGCGCGGATTTTCTTCTTCCAAGAGCACGGGAACAGACCTTTGGGCCACCACGCTCTCCATCGAAACTCCATTCTTCTCAAGCTCGACTTGTGGCGATTCCGATAGCTTATCATTGTCACTTCTTGTTGCGCGTCTGCTTCCATCCTACCTCCCTCCCTTCGCTTTCGAGTATAAAAACTAGAAAAAAACCTTCCTTTGCACTCTAAGTAAGCATTACAATCAAATTTTACGCAAAACACAATACAAAGCAAACTAAAGTAACTAAATTTGATTTAATAATAAAAATAAAATGTTCTTTAAAACTTGCAAAATTAAAAATTCCGTTGCCGGGAATTGAACCCGGGTCTCTCGGGTGAGAGCCGAGTATCCTGACCGACTAGACTACAACGGATATTCACATGAAGCATCTCTTCATCCAGCTTCAAGCAAGTCATTCCTTTCGTCGAAGATAAATCAAATACGTAAAATTACGCAAAGAGTGGAGAAAGTGTGCAAGTCTCGATATATAACTTATATCATCGTACTTTCTCTCAAACTTTGCAAACAAAAGCTTTTGCTGCTGGAAGAACAAGAGTAGAAAAATAACGAGAGAGGGACGAGAAAGAGCACCACCCCAGCTATAGAAGAAGACGATATCTCCGCCAAGAGCCTCGAAAGCCAAGCGGCGGTTGTTTTTTAGCAGCGCTTACTACTTCTTCACGACTTTGCCACCGCTACCGCCTTGGCTGCTACTTGCGCTTCGGTCAATGGTAAGTAGTATATGTTGGGCTTGGCGCTCGTCTTCTTGAACAGATCATCGAGAGTAACCATCGTCTCAGCCTCTGCAATGGAGAACGATGCTCGTTAGACGAGAAAGAAGAACGAAAAGAACAAGAATCGAAGAGGAGCTCACCTCGCTTTGGTGGTGGTGCTGGCTTTTCCTTGTGCGCTGGTGGAGCTACAGGCGACACCGGCGTGTGTGGAGACGGGAAAGCTGATCCCCCAGTAGTGCATCCCCGAGGGATGGTCACGGTAGGCTTGTCATTGCTGCCACTCTCAACCTTGAGCTTCACCTCCTCAGGCTCTACAAACTCTGCCACTAGCTGTTTCCCCCCTATCACAGGCCACTTCAGATTGTGCAGAGCATTTCTTGTAGCTACTGCTTCGTCTACAGAGGAGTACTGCAAGAATGGAGAAACAAAAACGTAAGCACAAACTCCAGGGGAAAAAACCAATGCACACGCATACCGTGACATAACAGTGCGTTTTGATCTGATCCATCCAAAAATCTGTAAAGTTGCCTGTGTCTGCAAGAAGATCTTTCAACGCCTTGAGGGTAAAAGGGCGCACAAACCTGTCAATTCTCAAAGATGTTGTGGGATTCTTATCTGAAGGTGACACTGCAAAGAACCGGGAGTGACTAAGTATTGTATTGCTGCGAAAACGAAGACACTTACCAATACGTCCGTTGTTGGCTGCGTCTGATAGAGGAGACACAACTGATCGGGCTGGTCTGTCAGCTAAAGGCCTAGTACCGACGGAATTACCACCTGCAAGATTAGAACCATCGTTAACAATCAAGTCTGGCGATACTTTAGGCCTTGTCTCAACATCTGCCCCCATATTTTTCCCTGAATTCCACCTGCGCTGCCTCTTGCTCTGATCTACTTGCTGTTCACCATCTGCAAAGAAAAAGAAAAATGAGTGACACACATTCACGACAGAAAAGAAACATTCAGGCACTTACTATCTTTTCTCTTCAGTCCCGCCTGGGCCTCAGCATCGACATCCATGGCTTTCGAATCACCATCCACATTATCCATACTCTCCTTTTCACTGTCCTTGATCTTCAGGTCTTCCTCCACACTGTCCCTGTCCTTGGAGTCTTCCTTGTCATCTTTCATCGCTTCGACGACAATCTCTTTCTCATCCTCCACCGCGTCTTTCAGGTCTTCGACGGCCTCGTTCATATCCTTCAAGGCCTCCAGAGTCTCATCCTGAAGGACGCTTTCGTTCTTCAAGTCCTCCACACTGGCTATCTCCTTCAAGCCTTCGTGCAGCACATTCTGGGTGGCGGCAAGGACATCCTCCACACTCTCGGCCTTTGCCTCGACATCCACTTTGATAACCACCTCTTCAGTCTTCTCCACGACTACAAAGCTCTCACCTTTAGCAAGCTCTTCCACCACGGGCTCTCCTTCGAGCTTAATCCCCTCTTCCAGCCCTGTGGGAGTAAGAAACTCGGCTGCCACAGCCCCTCCTTCGAGCTTAGCTTCCTCCTCCAGCATAGGAGCGGCCATGGATGGCATCTCCTCCACGACCTTGATGGTCGTCTCTTCCACAGTCACCACAGACTCCACCATCGTCTCCTCGGGAGCCGGCTGGTTCAAGTTCGTGACATGGACAGTCTCTTCCACCACCGTCTCCTTCACGAAAGAATCCATCTCACCCACATTGGAAACCTCGTCAGTCGTGGTGGTGACAAGAGTCTCTTCCAGCACAGAAACCGTCTCCTCTGCCACTGGAGCCGGAACGTCCATCTCCTCCTCCGCCACTGGAGGCGGAACTTCAATCTCCTCCTGCGCGGCCTTCACCGCAATCGCTTCCTCCTGCTGCTGGGCTTGGGCCTGAGCGCGAGCCATCGCCTCCGCCCTGACATTCTCATCCCGCAGCGCGGATTCCAGCCGCTCCACCAGCTCCTTCTTGAGCCCCTTGGGGCTCAAGCCGCGCCTTTTCAGCTCCTCCTTGAGCTCGGTCACCTTGAGCTGCTCGGGCGTCTTCATGCTCGCTCGATCGCTTGCCGCCTCTCTTTTTCCGCCCTAAAGAAGCGCTGGATCGAGGCGCCGGATCAATGCGTCTACCTCTGGAGCGCCGATTCTTGCCTGCCGGATTCGCGTCGCCGCCCAGCTCCTCGCACTCCTCACCTCAAACCCTAGGCGCTCATGGGAAATTAGGTCAAGAATCGGCAAGGCCCACTGCCCTTAAAGCATGCCATTTCCACTGCGACTTTCGCAAAGGTGTCCTTAACTAAGGAAGCGAAGATAAACGGCCATCAAGAAAGGATTGCTATTCCATATTCCTGGGAGAGAGAGAAAAAAGAGAGACCTTGGAACACCTACATTAAAATTTCTTCTCCAGCGATACCCTGTTGTAAGCTTTTTCCTTTGTTCGTCCGTAAAATCCGATGCTCTCTATAAGATCACGACCACCACCACCACCACCACCATCACTGGCTCTTCCAGATACCAAAAGATCTTTTTTTTCTTTTTTGCTGCTGTTGCTGCTGTCCTTGCTTTATCGAATCGCTCAAACCATCGTCGTCACTTCACTTCAATCTCTGCTGCTAAGTACTGCTGCGCACTGCTGCTGCTGCTGCTGCTACGATAAGTTTTGCCTCTTCATGTCCATGGCAGCGCCCTCTTTGAGCATGTCCTTTGCGTCGGTCTCCATGCCAAGCTTTGCCAGAGCCGCGGCTTGCAAGTAGAAGGCAGTGGGCCACTCGGGGTGTACGTACTGGGCTTGCATTGCGTCTCGGAGCGCTGCCTCAGGTAGCTCGCTCAGGAGATACGCCAGGCTTCTCCGTGCAAACACTGTCGGCGATACCATGGTGCCAACGTCCACAAACTGTCAAGTAAAGCCGACCTCAGTTCCAGAAGCAAAAACGAGAGCAAAAGAAAAGAAACAGAGAGAAAGGTACCATACCTGGGTGTAGCAATCGATGGCAGACTTGAAATCCTTGTCCCGGAAAGAGGCATCGCCTCGCTTTCGTGAATTCAAAACGTCTTGCATTTGCTTGGTCCACACTTGGAAAGAGAGCTGAAAGAGGAGGCATTATATCATATCTCGGCAAATCTCTAGAGGCAGAGAGAGGAAACTTACTTCATTGTCGGTACCCTCGTCGTCCTTGTACCCAGTCTTGACGAGAATCTCGTGAACTGCTGTAAGGTCGTTTCTCGAGCATGCCTCGCCGAGAGGGGAGAGAGCAAGCGGGGGCAGCGTTTCTCCCCGAGGGATTCCCATCAAAACATACGAGGGGACCTGGAAAAGCGAAAACCAGAAATGAGTATGATTGCAGTGCACGAGTTTTAAATCAGATTTACGTCTGCCTGCTTTTGAAGAGGCAGAAGAGCTTGAACTAGCATTTTAGCTGTCGGTCTTTCACGAGGTTCGTACTGCAAGCATCGTGACGCTAACCGCACGAGCTCGGTTCCATCGTCGTTGGAAAACTGGCCTTCCAGGTATGAGTCCATAAGCATCAAAATGTTCTTCCCACGTATCAAATCTAAAGCCTGCACACATGAAGAAGCACAGGATTACAAACTCACAAGCTAAGAGGAGCTTTGAATCACTCACGTGGCTTGGAGGAATGTGCTTCCCGCTAAGAAGATCCAAGAGAACAGTACCATAACTATAAATAACACTCTCGGGTGTTACTCTACCTGCAAACAGAAAACAAAGCTTTGAATACGCAAGGTGACAAAGGCACGAGAGCTTTACCTGTTCGCAAGTATTCAGGAGGTGTATATGCCAAGTTCGTGCTATAGCTCTTGCCGTCTCGGCTGTTCTTCATCAGACCGAAACAAGAGAGGCGCGGATCACCGTCCTGCAAAACAGCTGCAGTTAATGCATACACTAGGAGGGAACGAAAAGGATTAAAAAGCACCTGATCAAACAAGACCCTGTACGCATTCAAGTCGTGATATAAACGACGGTTATTATTGCTGCAATGCTCCAGTGCCTGTGCAATGTAGAGAGCCACTCTCAGGCGCATGCTCCATTGCATAGGTTGCTTTTCCCCTGCAGAGAGAAGGAAATGAATGCATGAATTCGCCGTTTTAAAGTCAGGAAAAAAACCACCCGCAATCTTACAGTGGAAAAGGTGCTTTGTCAATGTGTCGTTCGGCATGTACTCGGCGACTAGCAACCTCTCATCACCTTCGCAGCAGCATCCAATCAAGTTAACCAATCTCTCGTGCCGCACTTGCCCGACCCCAAACGCCTCGTCCTGGAAGTCAATCCACCAAAACGAAGTTAACAAGTGCGCTCATTGAAAACAATTGGATTCTACCCAGTACCATGAATTGTCTCGCGTCGGGCCACGCAGTTTTCGGAAACTTCTTCACGGCAATCCATCGATTCTGATCTAGCCTGCCTTTGTACACATGATTAGGAGCCTTATCGCCGCTTTCAGACACTATGTAGTCCGCACTAAACCCATTAGTCGCCTCCCTAAGCTGCTCGAAAGAAAATTCCCTGAACTGT